TGTGAAGAGGAAGGCGTGACTGAGAGCAGCCCATGACAAAGTCTTGGAAGCGTGCTTTGTCATCCCACGTGTGCTGTACCAAATCAATCGTCATGACGCCATGCATGTTCTCTGGCGACTTCCGATCTGCCAGTGTCTCATTAGCCATATTTCTTACGACCGCAGCTGCCTGTATCAACCAATCTTGAATTCCGAATTATAGAAATGTATCCCATGCCAATCGCCTATCGATAACGCTCCTTTGACTGGACTGCTTGTGTCCAACGATAATGATTTCCACAAGTACCGGATGTCCAGTTATTCTGCGCATTCTCTTTAAACACCCATGGCAAGCACATGTTGCCTACGCCAATCTTACACGAGGTATAAAAGTACAGTGACGCCGTCCATACGCCTGCGATGGAGGTTGCTAGCCCGCCCTTATTGGTTCTCCTGTTTCGTTTGTTGTTGTTGTTGCTGTGATTGCTGCATGCCTTGCTGCATCGCATTCTGCCCCCAATTTTGCTGCAGGCCTGCGCTATTCGGTGGTTGTGACGCATTCGAGTTCATCCGTTGGGGTCCGGGCGACTGCTTCATTTGTGGAGTTTGCCCCTTCCATCCCGGGAATAGCTCCTGCAGCTTGGTGTATAGCTTGACGAGCTCGGCGGGCGAAGCGGGTATCGACATGATGGCGGGCCCCGGTTGTATTTGTTGTCCAGGCTTGGGCACCTTCTCCGCGTTTTGCGCGAGGTAGGCGAGGTTTGCCTGGAGGCGGCGCATGTAGCTGGGGTTGTTAGCTGACGTCGCGCAAGGGATGCGCAGCACTTACTCTACGTATTCCTTGGATGGCTGCGGTTTGTCGCCTTCGGGCTTCCCTTCTGGCGTGGGCCCGACTTGGCCTGCCTTGCCCTGCGTCTGGAGCTCGCAGACTTCTTTGATGAGGATGCTGTTGATGTCGAGGAGGGTTGCGACGCGATCTGCATTACGCGCCGGGTTGGCGGGCGACACTGGCGACGGGGGCACCTGCTTCACGGGCGTCTGGACCTGGGGCGGCTCCGCCTTGACGGGCAGCTGGAGGTTCATGGGGGTCTGCTGGCCGTTGGTCTGCATGCTGCTGGGCGAGGGCTGTGGCTGCGGTGTCGCATAGGGTGCCTGGCCAGTGGTGCTGGCAGGGGAGGCCGTCTGGCGGTTCTGGGCAAACTGGTGGTGGGCAGGCGAGGGCATCGTCTGCGCATAGGGCGCGTTCGAGTAGGGGCTCGGCGACGACAGCTGGTGTTGCTGTTGCTGCTGCTGTTGCGCCTGCTGTTGTTGCGCCTGCTGCATGGCGGCTGCTCCATGGTGTCATGTCAGCCAGGCTGCCAGGAACGCGCCCACGGGCGGCGATAGGGCAGGACAAGAAACGCGCACGTCACTGGCTTACCTCGCTGCTGGAGATACGGGGCTCCTGGCTGAATGCCATTACTCCCCATGGCGCCACCCATGCCCGGGAACGACGGGGACTGCCCGTACTGCCCATGTGGGTTGGCTTGCTGCTGGAGCCGCGCCTGTGCATCGAATTGGGCGTGTTGCGGGGAATTGGCGAACTGGCCGCCATACGCATTAGGGTTATTGAAATCCATTATCGGCACTCATTGGCCACGTCGCACAACTCGGTTTAGATTGATCGGTGGGTTGATCCGTTGATGGGAGAAAACGTGCGGTTCGTGATAAGCTTGGGTTTCGGCTCTAGAAGCTTTGCAACCCCAGCTCAGGCCAGCCGAGCGAGTCAAGTTGGCCGTCCTCGCCCTCTTTGTTCCAGCGCGGCCACTTCCCTCGAGCGCACCCAACATCGTCAAAGGAATTCCAGAATACATCAAATCCCGCATGGCGCCCTACTGGACCAGCGTGCAAGCATGTCCTAATGCAGTGCCTTAAGCAACCTCACACCTCCAGCATCCCTGTCACATGGGCCCACAAAAATGCTTGACATATCTCCCGAACATGGGACGAGACGCTTCCAGATCCGTCACCAGGTACCACGGCCTGCTATTAATACCGGGTCTGAGGCTCTTATCCGCCAACTAGATGAACCGCCGCCACCTGAATATGCCATGTGACTGACTCTTGGGAAGACTCGGCCATGTTGGCATCGAGGCATCTCGAGGCAGCACGCGCCCTCATCCTCCAGGACCGACGCACGCACTTGTTACCTATTTCTCTCATGCACTTTTAAAAACGCCACGTTGTATTCAAGTCGAGCTTGGCAATCGAGTGTAACTACATCATAGGCTCCCATGCTGCCACTTCTAAGCGAGCTCTAGCTCATCACGCGGTGTGTGGATGGGTTTCTTAACCGGGATCTAACCTCTCAACGCTCCTTCGGTGTGTGTGATACATCCATGTGGCTGCATGACGTCGGAATGTGGGCGCCGATGAGTATAGTCCTTGTCTCAATAGCAAAACGTGCTCAAGAGCTCCTTGGGATCTGCACCTCTCGGGCCGAAGTAAGATGCAGAAATACAGTAGTAATAAGCACTTCGTAAGGCGGTGTCTCCCTGATTATTCTCCAAAGACCTCCTCCTTCGTCGGTGTCTCTTTGCGGCGCAGTGCCACAAAGTACGCCTCTTTAGATTCCTGGAGCCAGTCAGCGTGGAACATCCACTGTGCGGAAAAACCTACAGCGCGAGAGGATTCCGGCTTCTCCCTGTACACCTTGGCGAAGAGACGCTTTAGCTTTGTCTCGAATGCCTTTTCCTCCGATCCTTTGTAGTACTTGCAGAGGAAGTGGCCGCCAGTCTTGAGCGTATCGAAAGCGAATGTCAGGGCGGCCATGCACAAGTCCTACGAAGTTTAGTAAAATCAAGAGTGATCGGCGGACTACCCACCATGCTGCCGGCGTGGTCTCTGAAAGCATTTCCGCTGGTGTTCATCATCCTAAAATATGGGTCACTAAGGCTCTTCTTGTAGAAGCCGGCCGTTTGGTCCCAGGGTTCTGACATGTCGCTGAGCACCACGTCTACTGCTCTGCCCTGCTGCATATCCCTCTCCTTCAACGAGAGCCTAGTTGGAGCATCTTGTTCTCTGTCACTGGTCTCTGCTGGGCGCCCAATCGGCTCGAGTTCTGCGCCCTCCAGATGAGCATGTCGTTCGATGTCAATGTATCCTCGTTCCATGTCGTCCAGCTCTTCTTCGGTAAGTCCCTCGCTTGCTTTCGCAGAAACCTGTTTTCTGGGTCTGCCCAGGTCCGGATCTCGCACATAGGCTCGAACCTCGTCTTGGATTACAGGTGACAGGAAGTCGCCTTGTATGGTGGAGACACCTCGCGGGGGTTGTGCGGGTATCAAGTCAATACCTATGACACGACCCTCTGGAGCAGTACGATCTGCAGCAACCTGGAGACATTAAGATGTTGTAGTCTGTGTAGATGGATCTGGCGAACCTGGGACCATGATCCTGGTGCAAAACCCTGGGGACCTTTAGCATCGTGTTTCCAGTGAAGGCGACAAACATACGAGATCGACGACAGTCTGCCCGGGTTGGAAAAGCTTGTGCTTGGTGTTAAGCTGTGGCACGTTAGTCGGTGCGCAGCCACAGACCGAGGCGCAATTACTTCAAGCAGCTTGAATGCAGCGCGACTCTTCAAGCCTTGCACTTTGGCTTCTTTGGCGAAGAAGTCCCTGCCTTGGCGTGACTTCCATCTTGTTGAAGATGAGGATGCACGCCGATCTGAGAGCCAGTGACTGGATTGGTGAGAGTCACGAGTCGCGCGTCTCAAGGCAAAACACGCTGGCGCTACTGGATGATGGGAAGACTCCAGTAGCAAGCTATCTGTGAGCTGCCGAAATATACGACGTGACAGCATAGGGAAGGTGCAACTGTTGTGCGGCGCCTTCGCCTTCGCAGAACTTATATACTCTTATCGATAACGTACGTCAACGATTTCGACATGTCGTCCCAAGTCCAGGTCCTTCCCAAACACTCGCGATAGAAAGGACGATAGCTAGGAAAACTACATGTTGCAAGCGACCTTGACATGACTTGAAGGACAATCACTGTGTTCGCGATAGCTCATCATCTCGGACTCGAGATGTGAGGTCATCTCCGAGATATTATCGTCTTCAACCTCGGAACGCCGAATCGACCATTACGATGTGTCAACGTCCACGGCCGACGTTTGTACCCCGCTGTTCTCCAGAGTCTAGTGAGCACGCGATCTCAGTTGGGTGTGGGGTCGTGTGCTCATCGGTGCGTGCGTTTTGGATGCATTCGCAGTATCTGGTGATGGAGAGCCCGGGCGGTACCATTCCGCATGTGACGACACCCATCCAAGACAGATACAGGCTATCAAGATCATGAGCAGCAGGGCTCTAAAACAGCATCCTATAGTGTTTCCAACAACGGCTGACGCAGAAGGAGTGACAGTGCGCAGCTGACTGCGTCGTCTAGTAAGGGGTGACTGAGGCGCAACGCCAGTTTGCGTGCATCTGCCCTGGTGTTCCCCTGACGTGTTGCCATGATGCGCGTCGAATCATTGCGGCTCGCAGTCAGCCCCGTCAAGGGGCTGATACCGGAGGGAGACGACAGGTGTCAACCAGAGCCAAGTATCAGATCGTGAGTACCCGGGCCGTCAGCGAGGACCGTGGTTGTTATAAGCATGGCTGATGGCATTCGTCGATTCGTGGCGCTAGACTAAAATTCGCTCCTTCCTCCCGCGGTATCCTCAAATCTCCGCTACCAGAGACGATCCAAACACGACAACCCTACCGAGGAGCGACGCCCATGACACACGCGCGACTACACACACAAACACTCACTTGAAAGCTGCCTTGCATGGAAGATCGAATTCACCGCTCATCGACAAGTCCTGCTCACCTCGTACGGCCGGAAATCTGTCTTCACCTCCGCAACACCATTTTCCGATGACCTCGACACTACGTCGCGCGACCTTTTCTTTCCGTCGATAGAACTTGTCCCCGCTCGGACAACAATATCCTGCTTCTTAGAGCAACAGCGCCGCGTTTAGAGCAGCGCCAAACAGCGTCATGTCGAAACCATCCGAGAAGCCGCAATCGCAACCGCCCGCCATCATGAGCGACGAACCGGGCAAGGGCATAAAAGTGAGTCAAGGTGAAATCCCTAGTCGCAGGACATCAATTGACCCCTCATCGCAGCCCCTCGGCACGCCCGACATCACTAGTCTCCAGCGCGTTCGCCAGGTTTTTGCGCAGCCAGTCCTGGCTTCCTTCGTCGCCGGCGGCGTAGCTGGCGCGGTTTCACGAACCGTCGTATCGCCCCTCGAACGCCTCAAGATTCTATTCCAAGTCCAGAGCGTTGGTCGCGAGGAATACAAGATGTCCGTACCCAAGGCTCTGGCTAAGATGTGGAGGGAAGAGGGGTGGAGAGGATTCATGGCCGGAAACGGTACCAACTGCATACGGATTGTACCATACTCGGCCGTACAGTTCAGCGCATACAACGTCTACAAGCGGGTACGTCTATTTCTCTTCTGTTCAGCGTGTTCTTGATTTCAGCGAGCGACTTGCTTTTCAAACATTGGGGTGGATGGGACAAGGTAAGGGCAGACGAAAGAGAAAGGGCGATAAGTGGGGAAGGATCCGAAGCTTCGCCGATGGAAAGCTCAAAGTGAGCCTGGGGGAGATGTTCAAGGGCATGGAGGTTTCTGCAAAGACGACGACGGCCATGGTATGTCCCAGAGTTTCATAGCTAACTTGCCTTAGTTCTTCGAGAGCGAACCAGGTGCCCCTCTCGATGCCTACCAGCGACTACTCTGTGGTGGTCTTGCTGGTATCACCTCCGTCACGTTCACCTACCCACTCGATATCGTCCGAACACGCCTATCCATCCAGTCCGCATCGTTCTCCGATCTCAAGAAGGAGGCTGGCCAGAAGCTACCGGGCATGTGGCAACTGCTTACAACTATGTACAAGACCGAGGGCGGTTTCCCGGCGCTATACCGTGGCATCCTTCCCACAGTGGCTGGTGTCGCCCCGTATGTCGGCCTTAACTTCATGGTCTACGAGATCGCCCGTACCAAGTTCACACGTGAGGGTCAGAAAGACCCGGGTGCTATCGGCAAGCTGGGAGCGGGTGCGGTCTCCGGTGCTGTTGCGCAGACCATCACATATCCATTCGATGTCCTGCGGCGGAGATTCCAGATCAACACCATGAGCGGTATGGGATACCAGTACGCAGGAATCGGCGACGCCATCAAGCAGATCATCAAGACAGAAGGCTTCCGGGGTCTGTACAAGGGTATTGTGCCCAACCTTCTCAAGGTCGCGCCTAGCATGGCTAGCAGTTGGCTCAGCTTCGAGATGACGAGAGACCTGCTCATGGGCAAGGGGAACTCGGGCTTCTTGTAGGACAGACAGTCCCACCTTCACCATCGTCGAAACGAACTACGGCAGAAGAAATCGACGAGACACTTCACATTACGAGCGCTCTTCCGACGGGAAGAAAGATACACGAAACCGTTCACCGACAGCAGGTGGCATTGTATAACGTCAACGAAAGCGATTGATACAAAACACAAGCATTGCATTTGGGAAGGATCAGCACGGCCTGGGGGTCTGATTTGGGAACGACCTCCCATGGATAACAGCGAAGGCGTTTGACTGGGTTTTAGTCCTTGCAAGTTGCACAGCATTACATGCAACTTTTCCTTCTTCCTCTTCTTTAGAGTCGAAAAAGAACGAGCGGTCATGGATCATACATAGAAGCATATTCGAGTCTGCCAAGCGGACATGATTTGGCATGGCTTGTACAACATAGATAGTTTCATGGTTTCCACTGGGAAACTGGGGATAATGGAACTGCTTTACATCAACACTGGTCCGTGATGTATAGAGCAGCGAGTGTTCCGCCTAGTCCAGCACGTCATTTTCTATCCTCATATCACCCATGCGCGAACAGAAACCCGTCATTCAACCGCTTCACCACGACGTCCATCACGTTCAGGACAAGTACTATTCTCCGTCAGCGCCAATCCCCCACTTTCCCTTCATCACGCAAGGAAGATACTCACATGCCCTTGCACCCACGGCAAAAGTTCCACGAGTTCATGCACTGCTCATGGCGGCAGTACTCCCAGTCCTTCTTTCCCTTCTAGTATCGGTTCAAGAATCAGGTTTCCGGGCATAAGGAGAGGGGTTGGGGGATTACTTACGTTATGACATGTGTTGAGCTTGTCGATGCATATGGTGCATGGTTTTTTGGCGGATGTGGTGACGTCTGTTGGTGGGGGGTCGCGGTCTGTGGTAATGATGGAGTGGGAGGGGAGAGTGGACAATGTTGTAGGGGAGATCTGGTCAAGGGTTGTAGTCGCGGTGACTAGGACGAGGAGGCATGCTAGTATAGCGATGGGTTGGATGGGGAAGTGCATGATGTTAGGTTTGGTGATTGCTGGATTTCTGTTGAAATTGCGGAGTGATGGAGTGACCAAGATCGAAGCAAGATATGTAAGTGGATGGACAGTATTCTACGTGTCTGGCAGTCGTCACACAAATTGAGCGGTACGTCACTGGCCTAGAAGTGTTTGATGCCTGGATGTGAATTGCGCGTTGAAGTGATTAGAGCGAGGTGTCACATGTAAAACCCGCACACGTAAATAGTTGAACTAGTGTGACATTTGAGATGGTCTACAGGGAGATCAACCCCAAGACCTCTACTCCGAATGCAAGGGAAAATGTTACAATATTTACAAAGACCCTCTATAGCTCGCCGTCCTTCCGCAGAGTCTCGTTACCCCAGGGCTCGCTTGTCAAGCAAGTCAATCCAGCAGCCGGCTCGCAGCTCTTCCTTCCGCTCAATGGTCCTGGCGATGGCAGCTTGAGGCCGCCAGCCGCGTATTGGCGTCCCTGCTCGTTGGCGAGAGCTTCACCAGCACCGGCCTCTACGTTCAGCGATCCCTTGCCAGATGCCAGACCCTTGCCTCCAGGCTGCGCACCGGTGGATTGTTCGGCGGCCTTGAGGGCCTTAAGCAGGTTGACTGTCGAGTCGTATGTGAGGTCCTCGTAGTAGTCGTCGTTGATCTGGACCATGGGCGCGTTCGCACATGCACCAAGGCATTCGACCTCGGAGAATGTGAAGAGGCCGTCTGCCGTGGTCTCGCCGTGGTGTACACCCAATACGTCTTCGCAAGCCTTCATAACCGAGTCACTGTCGCAAAGCATGCATGGGGTCTTGGTTCTGTCAGCAACTGCCCTCAATGCCAAGTATGGTGTCTACTCACAGTTGTGCAGACCTGGACGTGGAACTTGCCCACGGGGTCCCGGTTGTACATGGTGTAGAAAGTCGCAACTTCGTACACGCGCATTGGTGGCATCTCCAGTATCCGCGCAACCTCGTTCATGACGCTGATGCTGCAGAATCCGTGCTGGCGTTGTCCGAGATCGAGAAGCGGCATGACGGCGGCCTTCTTGTATTGGGAGGGGTATCGGGAGACGATCTCTTGGATGAGTTCCTCATTTTGTGGTGTAAATTTGAAGGGAATTTTGAGGTTGTTTTGAGGCGTATCGCGGTGCTACAGGCGTATTAGCTCGGCTTCCAGCGCAAGATGAATGGAATACATACAACGTTGAGCGAGCCGCTCTCGTTCCATGACGGTCGCGAAACACTGAAAGCCCGCCATTGAGCCCTCTGGAACTGTCGCGAGGCCCGTGGGGCAATCCTGCATGCGAGGGGGACGAGTCTTGAGGCCATGGTGGGTTGTGCTGCGGGCTGGAGGCGATGGCGTCGATTGAAGATGTCAACGATGAAGCTCATCCGAAGCGCCAAGTAAATGTGCAGGGGTCATTGCAATCAGCCGCCTCTGATTGGCCGCGCCCAACATCTCCACTCCGTTGTACCTTCGACGCTTCCTCACTCCTTCTCCGCATAGTTCAGGTCATCCCAAGCATCGCTTCGTGTTGCGTGATCGATGGCATTACCTGATCGCCGTTCTCCCGTAGCTACATGGATCCACGACCTTCGCTGCTTGAAACACATTACCGCCTTTGCTGCAGCGAGCCATGCCCAGTACAGTCGAGGCCGCCACGTAGCTATCCCCACCGACACCGTCCTCGTGCGTTTCGTCGCTGCTGCGCACTGCGGAAGCTTCATTTTTCTCTGGCATCCGCGGCAGTCTAGCCTGCGGATTCCTTTGTTGGCAACGTCCCGTATTAGTTTCTGCGCAAAAAATGGCTCGGTACAGAGCCGCATCGATGCTCGTGGAATGCGCCTACGGCGGTCAACCACGTCTGATGGAACTGTGGGTCTGCTAACACACACGCTGGGGGCACCTCGCGACATTGCATCCTTAGGAGTAGCAGTCGGTGGACTGAGAGACGCATAGGATTCTTCCCTCTGTGCCGTCGTAGGTGGAAAGATACCCTAGCCATGGTGTCTGGCCAATCGGCCGCTGTTCGCCTCATTGACGGCGCTCTGCGCGGACGCAGGCTGGCTTGCCGTTTGATGAGTTGTACTAATGTTTGCACTGTCAATTCGGTATCTTCACAGGCTTACAACACCGGCCGCTTCTTCCAGCCATGTTTCAGAGTCATATGATGCCACTACGTGTACGTGTACATCACTCATGCAGCACTTCACTAGTATACGGGGCGGTCAACATCTGCGCCATATAAGTATCTATTACTGCTATCATAGCACTTCCTGATCTCCTTCCACATCCCTTCGCTCTACCCCACTACTACACTGCCGACCTGCACTCGCGTTCGTCTCGTGGCTCACCCACACATTCGCCCAGCATGTGCAAGTACACAATCACGATACTTGAATGCGGTCACAAAATCGATGATTATGTCGAATCTCGCGACTGCCCCTACTACCAAAGGACCACCGTACAGTGTGACCGTGACAACCCGAGGCACAAAGATCGCTGCACCGTAAAAACCAGAGACCAAAACGGAATTTGCAATAGATGTCTCCGCGACAACGAAGAAGCCGCCATGCGCCGTGACTTGGAAAAAGAAAGAGAACACAAACGCCGAGAAAACGAAGAAGCCGCAGAAGCATTCCGACGTGGGCAGGAAGAACTTAAAGAGAAGAACCGCCGGGAGGCGGAAGAAAGACGACGGGCTCAGCAAAAAGCCGACGAAGAAGCCAGAGACAGAGCCCGCCGGGAAGCGGACAGGAAGCAGCGAGCTGAGGAAGAAGCCAGGGAAAGAAGTCGCAGGGAAGTCGAAGAAAAACGCCGAGCGGATCAGAGAGCCGAAGAAGAAGCTACGGAGAAACGCCGCCGGGAAGAAGAACAACGACGTCGGGCGAAACAAAAAGCCGACGAAGAAGCCAGGGACAAAGCCCGCCGGGAAGCGGACAGAAAGCAGCGAGATGAAGAAGAGGCCATGGAGAAGCGCCGCCGGGAAGTGGAGCAAAGGCGACGGGACAAGGAGGAAGCTATGGAGAGAGACCTCAGGGAGGCGGAAGAAAGGCGGCGGCAGGCCAAGAAAGAAGCCGATGAAGAAGCCATTGCGAGAAGACGACGGGACCACGAGAGAAAGATGGCTGAAGATGAGCAGGAGTTGCTAAGAAAGATGGCAGAGGATGAGGAAGCTCTTGAGCGACGCAAGAGGGCATATGAGAAGAGAATAGCAGAAGAGGAAGAAATCGAGAGACAGCGCAAGGCGGAGCTCGACCGACTAGCCAAAGAACAACGCGATCTGGATTTGATGATCCAAAAGTCCAGAGAAGAAGCGGATAGGAAGAAGAGAGAGGAGGAGGAAGAGGCGCAGCGAGCTTTGAGGGAACAGGAGAGATGGGAGCAGGAAAGGAAGTACCGAGAGGAACTAGTAAGTTCAAGTCCTATATCATCTCAACATCGGTTGCTAACCTCACACCCCCCACAGCTCCGATCAAGGACCGCAGCACCGCCATCCCCACCCGCCACACCACCTGCGCCCCCAGCCCCAGCCCCCAAACCCGCCGTCAGCAAATCAGCACCCCGCCCCCCTCCAGCGCCCAAGCCCGCACCAAAAGAAATCAACTACTCTCTCCCCGCTGTTGGCGACCAAACGTATGGTCACTGGATGCTAGGCAACCGTCGTGCCCCCATGCACCCCTCGCAAGAGATCCCCGGAACGCCATCAACCTCAGGCATCCCCATGTCACCCACAAGCCCGGCACCATTCGCGCGCCTCGGTGGCGCCATCGCGGCTTCTGATGTCCCTGTCGTGAGGGAGGTAAGGGGCCAGATCCCGCCTGTCATGCCCGTCGCTATGGACTCGAGGGCAGGATTGAGGAGGACGAGCGAGAGCAGGAAGCCGCCGCCGCCCGTGCCGCAGCGCAAGCCATCATCAGGCATGGAGGGCATGGATCCTGTGTTGAAGGCAAAGTTGGAGAAGCGGAGGGCTTGGGAACCAGAAGAGGA